AAAAAAAAAAAAAAAAAAAAAAAAAGTAACCTGTGCTATTCATAAAAATAAATCTATAAATCTCTTTAAAGCACACAAAAGACTTAGTTATGCACAGAAAAATCTTTAGAGCGCAAACCTGTATGAGTTTGAACTCTGATAAATCTTCAAGGTATTAAAAATGTATTGTAAATAGGGATGAGCCAAATGAGTTAAGAAGAATTCAGAAAGTTTCTTACACATTCTGAACTTAAATGTAAAACCTTCCATTGAGGAGTACAACAAGATACACAATGTGAAAAAGCTTCCAAAGATTAAAGTACCTTACACAATGACTTCCACTTACTTCCTATGAATATATTATGCTCATTTCAGGTTACCACATACTGAAAACAAGAAGAATTCTTGGGCGTGTTAGCCACTTCTCTCTCTAAACCCACTAAATACAATATGAATCATGTAGATTAGATTAATCTCAAAGCAGATTGAGAGAAACGCATTTGAATAGGATGCGTTTTATGTTACGGCTACAGAACAATCCCGCCTCCCCCATTTATGTAGTGTGTGCTGACCACACGCGGAGTTGCTATTCCTTCTTTTAAGGTATTGCCACAAGCTGTGCATCTTTTGTGCTCTTATATAGTTATGGCTCTATATAAACTTTTAAAGTTTAACACCCTCTCACCCACTACTTCTCTTACCAACACCTGAAATTTAAAGGGATTGAGCTTGATCACTGTGTATTTCCAGGTAATAGGACACAAAGTTTGCCAGAACTTTAAGAGCTTTACATACTTGAATGTCTTCAGAATGAACTAATCATTTGGTCAGTTCCCTCACACCTCTACTGCAGGTTTTGGTAGTATTAGTCAGTAGTAACCAAGTAGAATGTGTAAATCTTGGTTATTTCTATTTAGAAGTGCAAAACAATCACATCACAGGTTATGATTCACAAACATCTCCTGACAACTGAAAACAAAGGAATGATGTGTTTAAATTCTGCAAGATTCCCACTGGAACACTGAGTAGATGGAGGAACAGGCCTTGTGAATATATAAATCCATTCAGCTAAAACTGCTCTTATAACAGATGTTCATTTACGTAGTGGATCTTGAATAACCAACAGCTTCCATTGTCCTGTCATGGATTCACTTTGCATTCTGGGGCAGATAAAATAATGGTACTTACTTTGCTTCAGTGGCTCTCCACTTGGGACATCCAGAAATAGCTTGTGATAGTGAGCATTTGCCTTGAACTAAAATTAAACAAACACAGAACACATTTTGGTTATTCCTTCATTAAAATATATTTACCCCCCTTAATCTGCACACTTGCTTTCTCCTTTAGCATCCTCTATATGCTCAGATACTATGGTGATTAGTGCTATAGAAATGCAGTTAAATGAATAAATACCCCCTTATTCTCAAATTCAAGAGTTCTGGAAGTAAAAGATTGCCTTATAGCTCTTCTTTTAAACGCCTCAAAAGAAGAAAGCTCAGTGATATTTTATTTGTGTTTGTACAACCTTTATACAACAGAAAGATAGCACTAGTTTTAGTGGTTTGAGAGTGGTACATCCATACTGAGCTTTTTGCTAACTTTACAGAATCCTCCAGCTCTGCTGTCTGGATAAAGCACTATCTTCTGCAGAGATGGAAGAGAAGGAGGCACTAGTTGTAACTCCATAGTTAGAGTTGAAGTTTCTTCTATACCTGTACCCAGGAGCGGCGCCAGGGTTTTTGGCGCCCTAGGCAGGGGTCCTTCCACGCTCCTGGTCATCGTCGGTAATTCTGTGGCGGGGGGGGGGCTCCTTCCGTGCTCCCAGTCTTCAGGGCACTTCGGCGGCAGGTCCCGGAGCGAGTGAAGGACCCGCCGCAGAATTGCCGCCAAAGACCTGGAGCGCGGAAGGACCCCCCGCTGCCGAATTTCTGCTGAGGGCAGCAAAATGCCACCCCCCCAAATCCTGGTGCCCTAGGTGACTGCCTAGGTCGCCTAAATGGAAGTGCTGGCCCTGGCTGTACCATCTAATGTGATGTGAAGAAATTCACAAAGGCAGGGCAGGAGGAGAAGTAACACTACTCAACTCTGGGGGCAAAACTACACCCATACTCCAGCTTAATCGGAGGACAGCAAACAAAAAAACCTCAAAGAACATTTCAAAGTGAGAAATATATGTTCTAGATGTTGCCACATGAGTGTATCTGCACCAGTAAGCTGATGTGTTATATTTAGAATAGATATGCAGAAGGCAAGGGCGAGGAGGGAGAGAATATCCCATGCGTGAACTTTCCCAAAAGAATGATATTCTAAAATCTTTTGAACTAAACTGGAAAAGTCATATTCTGCTCCTGTTAAAGATTGTTCCTTTGTCTCAAATCCTTAGTGGCTGTACTTGGTAGTAAGGCTTCACTTTTGCACTTACCATGTTTCACTCAATCTCAAAGGCACTGGGCAAGAAACCAGTGGCAGCGCCCAAACCTTGAGTGCTTACATTACAATGAACAGTACTGTTACTGGGCTAGACAATGATAGTATAGTCATTTACTCTGACTATAAAAACACACATTATCTCTGTATTACCTGATTTGAGGCATGTTTTTTCCTTTCAATCTTGGAGTCACTCTTGATATCTGCTGTCAGGAGGGGGCTGTCCACACTGATCTTTGTCCTGAGGGTAAGAAAACATTCCTAATACCATGCTTAGTGTCATTTCATTAGTTTTGTTACCATCCGGATGTATACTTCTGTCTATGGCACACATTCATCCTTTATTAACTTTCATTCTTATTCTCTGGTCTCTTGATGACAACAAAGCAGATAAGGACAGTTAACATCAGTTTCAGAATACATCAGGTCTCATAGCTCAAAGAAAACCTTTTAACGTTAGAGGGAATGTTCATTTGTTGTTTGGAATAAGTTAACTACTGTTAGTTTCTTTTGTATACTTTGTTCACCTTATAGGCAAAGACGATGGCTTTTCTTTTGGATAGTAGAACATAAGAATGGCCATACTGGATCAGAACAGTGGTCTATCTAGCCCAGTATCCTGTCTTCTGACAGTGGCCAATGCTAGATGTTTCAGAAGGAATCAACAGAACAGGGCAATTATCACGTGATTCATCCCCTGTTGTCTAGTCCCAGCATCTGGCAGACAGAGCCTTAGGGACCAGAGCAAGGGGTTACATCCATGATCATCTTGGCTAATAGCCACTGATGGTCCTATCCTCCATGAATTTATCTAATTTTTTTTAACCCAGTTATAGTTAAGGCCTTCATAACATGCCCTGGCAATTAGTTCCACAGATTGAAGTACTTCTTCACACAATGCCCAGTCCTTATATTTGTTTTTAACTTGCTGCCTATAGATTTCATTGGGTGATCCCTGGTTCTTGTTTTATGTGAAGTCATCATGTGTGTCATTTGATATAGTCACTATTGGGTTCAAATCTTGAATGATAGTAAGAATATTGACCATACAAAAAACAGTGTACAGGGACTATCGGGTAAATTTTTCATGGGACAGAGATGTCTGACTGGAGAGGTGCAGTCTACAGTGAAAATTCTTGTACTTCCTCAAGAATTTTACATGAAGAAGCAGGGAAAACACAGGATGTGCAAGAAAATGCAATAGGCTCATGTGTGTTTGCCTTGTAAGCAAATCTGCGATCCTAAGTTGGTTGTTGCATTGGTCATCTAAGGAACAGGCAAGAAGACACGCCATTAGGTCTTCCATCCCATGGTTCTGAGCAAGTCATCTAGCTGTTCGACTGGGATTTTAAAACCATCACAGCCTTTGTTTTGTATGAGTTATTGGTATTCCCTGCCACCCAAACTCTTTGATTTAGCATTTTCACAAGACCTAGTATATACTGCTACAGAGATTTCTATCACTGAATCCTGTTTCCCTATAAGAATGGTGTGATTGAGGGGTTGAAGAGACAGAAGATTCTTACCAGAGGGATCCCATATTAGAGCTCAGTTATACCTTTGTCATGAGCAAAGGACTCTACAACATTCTGCTGCACCAGGAGTAGCCCTGGAGCCAGACAAAGCCTGGCACCCAGTCTCTCCCTGTTCTGCAATGGAAGTAACCTGCACCAGGTCTAGATCTGTGCAGTGTACTTCCCTTGGCATGCCAGTACAACTATGCTAGCTGGTTCTGCCATGGTTCTTCCCACTACCTACCTCATCCTGTCCTTTCCCACCTACTTGCATAGGAGGTTGGATGTAGGAGCCCCAAGGAGGTTGCTCTTCCCCTGAAATGCTCCTTTCTGTGTTCCAATAGCTGGCACAAGTGAGCATCTGATACCCCATTATTCCCTTGTACAGCTGCACAAGCTGGGCCACAATCAGGACCTTAGGTGTACTAAATATTTATCTTGTTTCTCACCAGGTTTTTTGGATGGGTCTCAGCAATTTTTATTGCTGCTCAGTTTCTGCTAGTCAGTTTTCTGATATTACCTAGTGGCGCCAGCTTTTTTCCGGTCATCAAAACATTCAGCCTCACTAGTAGGGATCTGTGGCAATAGGCTGGGTGATTTTCCAGCCTTCTTTTTTTCCTCTGTACCATATTCTCCATCTGAACTGCAGAGAGAGAGAGAGAGAGAGAGATTGATTCTCTTTATCTGAGGATTCATACCAAGGTCAAAGAACAAAAGCCACTGCAAACTGAACCTAAAAAAGAAAATTGTCTGATATGTATTTCAATCATTCATTTTAGATTTTAACAATAGACATTCTTGTATCTTGGATCATACTTGGGAAAACTAAATGCATAGCCTCCACTCTTGTTTACTTAGAACTCTAATCTAGTCAGTCTTTTTCGGTCATACTAACATTGGAACTTAAAATAACCTTCTAGATCAGCTAATGTCGACATAGATACTACAGTGACTGGTGGCTAAGTGCTCCTTTGAAGATTTTTACTGTTTTGAAATTGACAGAAGTCCCCCTCACCATGTTTTTCTGATCAGTTCTATAATAGCGAACATAAATAGATAGTTTTTTCTGTTAAACCCTTTCCATGATATGCATTTCAAAAAGTTGTCTCATTTTCTAGGATGCAGCAAAATGTACAAAGTGTAGCTATAAAGACTTATCAGGGCATATTGCAGAACCCACCAATAAGCTCCAAGCTAAAGACAACAGTAAAAGAGCACTTTCAAAGATTTTTGTGAGGATTCTCATTAACGTGTGGGAAAGTTAAAAAAGCCCCCTATCATTTTGAGAACAGCACCAATCTAGCTGAGGGATAACATCAAACCCTACACATGAATATGGAACTGCTTTGTTTTCTAGAGCAGTGTTCAAATCTCATAATTTATAAAGCTTTCAAATAAAGCAAACAAGGAGCCTATCTTGTTCCTTGTACTCAAGTACACAGCAACAGCTCTTAAAATCCATTTAATTGGGAAATTTAATGCCAGCAAATCTATCAAAATATGAATATTCAATGCAGAGTACACTTTAATGCAAAAATATAACTATTTAGTACACACTGTCATTTAGTGTCCTGGAAAGAATCTCCAACCACAGACCTGATATCACCTGAGCAACATGAGCTGCAACATTGAAATTCTAGCAATGGGGGGAAATGAAAGTGCTAGTATTACACAATCAGTCATGTCTGTAGTCCAGGTTTGGCTCCAAGTAGTAAAGGAATAAATCTAAACTAAATGAGTTCAGTGCTTAACTGAGTCAAATAGTTAAAATTTTTTAAGTTTTCTAATCAGCCTACAAGCTATACGTTATACTTAACACATTCTTTATAGCCAATTATAATAAAATCAAGTTAAGGCAGAGTTCCTCTTAACTGGAACCAATAGGTCCTGTTTGACCCCCTCAGTCACTACTTACTACAAAGTTTCCATGAAAGCATTTTTATTCCATTTTATTTTGAATGTGAAGAAGTATCTGTCAGGTTTATGAAGGTGACCTAGGTCACAATACAGGATCTGTGTTTAATAGCCTGCGTATGAGACTGAAATCCATCTTTCCCATGGCAAACACATATACTACCATACTAATTAAGTTATATGGTAGCCAAAATGGTAGCCAAATTTAAACAAATACACAACCCTTTGCAAAATTTGCCCTGATGCTTAACATTATCCTAGATTTTTTTTTAAATATATATACGTACACACACACACACACGGGTTCAAGTCTAAAGGCAAAGGAGGAGGCTGTCCAACCATCTGTATTTTTAAGCCTCTTTCCCATCCCCATCCATTCTTTAATACTGTTCCAACTTGGAAGCACATATTGATATTTTTTTTAAAAGAAATCAGTTGAGGGCAGAATCCTCTGGTAAGCATGGATTTTAGTTATAAAGTTGCTTAGGTTTTTTTAGCAGGCTACCACATACATCTCTTATTTTGGGGATCAAATCCTAGAAAGATTAGAAATTTGCCAACAAACAGCAAGAAAAATAAGAAGGTAGGGTAAATGTTGCATCTGTCAACATTAACTGTGTTCCTTAAAGGTGGTTCTGGATGACCCCAATTTACAAGGGACCTCTCCATGTAGATCTGTATGCAATTTTACAATGGTTATACAGATGGCAAGGCAACCAAAGTCCAGACCATCATTTTGATAATGACATTTTGCAATGTAACTTCAATTAAAAGTTTTGGTAGATATTTTAATTACTATACCAAGACCAAGGCCTTGTCATTCATATTTGCATAGGCCTTCTCAGACCGACTTCAATCTCATATTTTCACTTGGAATTGCACAAAGAAATCAAAAGAGTGTCTACCTGATGTTGGCAGAGTGAGGTCAGGAGAGAAACATTGCAAAATGCTCATGCAAATCTACCACATTCTCTCAGCCAGCAGCTGATTACCAATGTTTATTTTATAGGACACAAATAATCAGAGCCTTATGCCTTATTTACATTGGGATTTGTAAATTTGAAAGCTTGAGAGAACACCCACCTGTTGAATTTAAGGTCTGTGAAAGAGATACCAAATTGACATTTGCTAAGGAAAATTCCATTTACCCACAGAACAGTCAAAGCACAAGGATCAACACAGCAAGTTTCCACACTGTTCCACCAACAGGCGTCAATTTTGTCTGTCCAGAGGTAACAGCTTTCAATGATTTCTGATCTAACCTGAACCAGCAATCTAGAGGCATTGGGTAGCACAAACCTTTTATATCAAGAACCCAAACCAGCAGCTTTATTTAGTTTGAGGTTCCAATGGGCGTGAACCTCAAAGAGGACTTTGGTCAGGACCTGGGCGGGCCAGGGATGCTCCCTCCCACTACAGACCAGGTTGTGGCTATCTTAGGGGCATAGAAGGGCCTAGTGGTCCTTTAGCCACTTCTTATGATGGCTTCAGGAGGTAGTCAACTGTCCGTCTCTTTCCCCCTCAAAGTTCTTAAGCTTCCTGGGAGAAGTAACTTGCCTGAGAAGGAAGCAGGCAGTGTTGGGATTGGGGAGTGTGTATGTACACACCTTGAATTTAAAGTAACTCTTTACTGGATGTAGGATTGTTATTTATATTACTGCCATATTGAGAGGCCCCAGTAGGAATTAGGGTCACACCAGACTGGGCACTGTAAAAACTATGTAAAGAGGTTACAGTGCTGCTTACAGAGAAAGTTGACAGGACTTAAGTAGGGACACAAAAACAATCGGGAAGGATGGATGAGGAACAATGAAGCACCATGCAGTTATTCAGATTTCTCATGGGGCTCAACAAGATAAAGAGATGCCGTTAAATCTCTCTGTATAATATACACATATCCTTTTCACCTCTTCCTTTCTCCTGTAACAACTCAGAAGAGTGAAATTCCCGCCCATCTTCAAATCCTTTATAACCTATGATCCATTGAGTAGTTTTGTTTCCATCTTGTTTTAATTTTTTTCTTTCAATTAATCCTTCCTCCTCACTTGCTTTAACTGCGGAACAGTAGTATAAATGACTTCACACCTAAAATTCCCTTCCCCTGACTATGTCCGTCATTCAACCCCTTGCCTTCTCTACCAACAGCAACTCCAGCCACCATTCCAAAGTCACGAGGCTCCACCCATGCATGCCTTTCCTAGCACAAACATGCAGCTCCCTGATGATATCATGGGGTGATAGAAAGTGTTTTAGGGATTGAAGAAATGTGGTATTATGTTATTCCTTTTACCTGTTCTGAGGGATCTGGGGAGTGGGGAAGAGCTGGGCTCAGCCCAACCTGTTCACCTTCTCTTTTCACTGCATCTCTAAAAGCAACCAAAGTCCTTTTCCCCGCTCAGGCCTTGCCTCCAGGAAGAAGAGGGAGAGTCCTGCCCATGTATGAGTGCACCTGATTAAAGTAAAGAAGTTTAAGTAGACTCCACCCCTGCAAATATGCATCATGGGTCACAGCTACACATGCCTTCCTATGTATGCTTCATATATACCCTCCACCAACACCACTGCCACATTCACCTAGCTCATGCAATCAGAAATTCAGTACAAAGGAGTAAATCTTCATTTCCTCTCATATGAGCCTACAGATCTCTCTGGAAACTAACTCACCACAGATCTAAAATATCAGCAATAGTGTGTAATTCCTCTGCCATTTCAGGCTCCTTAGATACTGCTGCATCTTAGTCCACCCAGTTCTCCACCTATAGCATATAATAGTCTAGTTTCCTGAGAGTCTCATTTCAGTTGTTGGATTTAGTGTGAGCGTGCTGTTGGTGGCCTGTGATATACAGGAGATTAGACTTGGATGATCTTCAAATTGCAAAACTTTGGAACATTAGATTTCACTGTAGTCTAACAGAGCAATTGTTGAGAGAAAGTAGCCCATTCCACCTCAAAAAAGAGTTATGGTAAGTGTCATTTTGCTTAACAGGGGTTTCATGCAAGTGGACCATTTTTGTAAATATCAAGATTTTGAGTTTGTTGTGAATATATACTTTTAAACGCACAACTCTAACGCTGATAGAATATCTCCTTCAAGATGAACATGCAAAAAACACACAACCTACCTACTTTTCAGACATGCCACCCCCTTTAAAAAAAAAATACAAAAAAATCAAAAAATCAAATCACTTTCAGGTTTATTATGGCACAAAGGGAATACAGTTTAATGTTGTAGAGATTCATCTTCACTGATGAGTCACACAGTTAAAATGACAACAAAATTAGTGACATTAAAAGGATATGAAACCTTTCGATATGAACTCTGTGTATTAGAAAAACAGTTGGTTACAGTACATAACCATAATATACAGCAAGAATGGAACTGAGGAACATAAGATTAACCCACAGTAAAGGAAAAAAGAGCAGAGAAATAGATTAACAAAAAGCAGTGAACCGGATGTGTCTCTAATGAAGTGTACCGAGACCCATCATTAGCCAGCACATTTTAAAAGTCATGGGAAATGGATCTTGTCTCTTTTATACACTGCATATAAACACAGAAAACTAGTGGCAGATCTGGGAGCCCAAGTTCTTTATGCTACAGAAATAAAGTTCCTTCTGAATTCAGAAGAATGTCTTCTGGATTAGAACATCAGCCACTCAGACTTGTAGCTAACCTCTGTCGCAAAAATTGTATTAAGTTGATTACAATGGAATTTTATTTGAATTTTT